CCGACGGCCCCAGTTCTACCGCCCGCATGCGTCTCCCCCCCACCCAGTGTAGCGCTTCGTGGCCCCATAGGGAGCTCCACCGAAGAAAGTATTCACAATTGCGGCACCCACAACTGCATATGGTTGGGTCGACCTCCTACCCTGACACTTCGATTTGCGAATTGGCCGTTTTCGGTTCGCGAGGGGGCGTCGCGGCCGTCATTTTGCGGGTCCAGGTCCGTCGCTTTCGGTCCTAGGTCGTTTTCGCTAAAGGGTGGGTTATTCAAGGGAGGTTTGTCCACCGCCGATTTTTTGTTACTATTGTTTTGTTTTCCGTCCAAAACCCGCCTGTAGGAGGACATGCCCGACCTCACGCCAGGATCTCAGTGCTCTTCCTGCTCAAGCTCAGCGTTTGAGCCCCCCCTCCCTCTGGCTTTTGGCCGGGGCGGCGGGGCCGGACAGGTGGCAGTCTCGTGCGGACGTGCGGCCTTTCCGCGATCTCTGCTCAGTTGAGCGGAAGATCGGGACAAATCGGAACCAGAGATTCTGGGAGTGTTCCAGGGAAAAATAGAACGCCGATTTGTGGAGCGTAGCGCGCGCATTCGCAGAAGTTCCCCAAGGAGTGCTCGAGGGCTTGAGGAGCCCAGGTGACACATGGGCGCTCGATTGAACTGTTGAGGGCGGGCAGAAAAACTGGTTTGCACGAGCATTGGGAGCGGGTGCGCCGCTTTCACGGGGGGCGCAGTAGGGTTGCGTTTCAGGGGCTTGGGCGCTGGCCGATGCGTTGATGGGGGCCCGAGAATGCGTCGCGCATGTTACGCCTTTGGCGGTATGGAGGCCGCATTTGCGGTTGCAGTGGGGCGGGCGCCCCGCCGCGCGCACCGTGGCGACAGCTCTCTTGGGCGCCCGCCCGCCGCCGTCGACGTAGCGGGCCCAGCTAGTCTGGCGGCCTGAAAGTGCTTCGAAAGTGTTTCTCCCCGAGCCCGGGGCAATCGTACGTTTTCGGTGGTACGCGCAGCTCGGATAAAAAATCGCTTTGTCCGTCGGCGGCCAGTTGGCTGTCGTCGCGCAGAAGTACCGGCGGATGGCGCGGTCCACGCTCAGCGCAGAGAGCGTGTCTATGGGCGTGGGCTCGTCGAGGGGCAGGGGGAAGGACCTCGTGGTCGGGGCCATCGCGGCCCGCGATGTCCACGGCCCCCACCCTGGGCGCGGGTGGACCTGCTGGGCGCCGCCGCAGGCCGATTTCAGAGAATCTCGGAACCAGAAATCCAGGCGCGCCAAATGTCGCGGGCCGAAAAACTTTCAGAGAGTTTCGGCCAGCTCCGGGGTTTTGGGTTTATGGGAATGTTTCAGGCGGGGCGGCTAGTTCAGAGATTTTCATAAATTCTCAAAGAAGTTCGGACGCGAGAATTTGGCGCGCCCCGGTTTCTGGTTCTGCGAATCTTTGAAAAGCGGTTCCTCAGGTTTTACCGGGTTTTCAGGCGTCCTATTGTCAGCCAGAGACGAGCGACCGGCTGGCGCCGCGCCTGGTGCTTCGGGAGTTGCGAACTCGCTCCTCGATTCCCTGGGGCCCGCGGGCCCCGGGGCCAATCGCGAGGTTGCCGAGGCCCCCGGGCGGTTGCGCGCGATTGTCTCGGAAACAGGAGTCGGGCATTCATGGTGGACGCCCGCGCGTACGCGCTAGGTGTCCGCGAGAGTATTCGGTGGCGGATCTTGCCTGGCGCGGGGACCTTCCAGAGACTTTCCGGTTTTTCTCTGCGGTTATTTCGGCGCGCTTCGGGGCGCCTGGGGCGGCGCGGGGACGTCGCCGGGCCGCGCGCGGGCCTTTTTCCCAATGCCTTCTCGGGCATTATCGCGGTGTTGCACGGCCGAAGAGGTCACTGAGTAACACGCTTTTTGACATTTACGTGTTTTTCGTTGCGTTGGTTGCGTGACTGGTTTGGCGGTCCGCCTCCTTGGGGCCCCCTTGGGGCCTCAATTCTGTTTTGTTAACGTCGGGTCTTCTGGAGCGAGGCGCGATTGGCGCAGAATTCCCTCAGGCGCGCGCGTGGCCAAATACGCGCCGTGGCCTCATCCGCGCCGGGGCGCATTTCCTCGCTCGCGAAGCCGATGGCGCCCAAGGCGTGGCAGGCCCATTCGGCGGCGCCCCCGGCGATTTGAAAAACCGAGCATGATTTTTATCCCGGTCAAACTTTGCCCCGATCCTGGCGTCGTCTTATCTGCTGTGTGGTCTGTGCCCTCTGGCGGAGCGCTCTGCCTGGGCCGCGCTGTCTCGCCCGCGCGGCCGCGCCCCGCCCTCTGGCCAGGCGGGCCGCCCGCGCCGCGCCGGCGCGTGGCCCGGCGGCGCGGTGCCCGCCGGAGGCGCCATGGGGCGGCCCGCGGGCGCGCCGTCAGCCTCGGGGCCTCCCGAGCGTCGTCGCCTCCGCCGTCGTTGTCTGCGAGGCGGGAGCCCAGAGTCAAGCAGCGGCGAAGCGTCCCGGCTAGCCTATAGCCCCACCAAACAATGTTCTAAGAACCTTTTGTGGTTCCCACGAAATGTTCTTAGAACATTTCTGGTTGGGACTGTTTTGTTTTAACACATCGGGTTTACGTTCTAAGAACACTGTTTTTGCTCTTAGAACATTTGCGGGTTCTAAGAACATTTCGTGGTATGACTATAGGAATGCCGGGACGGTCGGTCCATGCTCAACCGAGGGTTCCGAAGGTCGGGAGCCTTGAGACGGGAGTCAATGCAAACGGGGGTCAACCAGGGCACTCCTGCAGGATCCCGCGAAGACCCCCTCTGGCTGACCAGGGTCAGCGAGCCGCCCGTGGCCGCGAGGCGGCCGCGCATATTGGTTGACCCGGGTCTGCGAAGACCTGCGCTGCAGTCTTTTTTTTTCCTGCATTGCAGTTTTTTGGGTTCCTGCTGACCCGGGTCTGGATTGACCCGGGTCAGAAGATCCCCGAGAAGGGGGCTTTTGGGGAGGGGGTTTTCCAGGAGGGGTCCCCCAGGGGCTTCGCAGCCTCTGTTTTGGCGAGGTTCCGAGGGCCCTGGGGGGCTCTCTGGCAAACCCCCTCCGGGTTGGACTAGGTGGGGGTGGATATCACGGCGTGGGCCATGATATTTCCTCAGATTTCATGGCGCCTCTTTTTCTTTCATTACGTCCCTGGCCCCCCCCCCTGGGCCGCGCACATGCCGCCGGCCATGATTTACGCCCCCCGCTCTTGGACGCCCCCCTCTTGGCCGCCCCAAGCGCTTGTTTCTGCAAGCGCTGACCGCTCATCGCTTCGGGGCCTCCCGGGCGTTGTCGCCTCCGCCATCGATTCGGGGGCGGCCAAGAGGGGGGGGATGACTAGGGGGGGATATCAAGGCGTGGGCAATGGTATTTCCTCAGATTTCATGGCGCCTCTTCTTGTTTCATTACATCCCTGCCCCCCCCAAGGGCCGCGCACATGCCGCTGGCCATGATTTGCGCCCCCCCCTCTTGGACGCCCCCCTCTTGGCCGCCCCCCATCGTTGTCTGCGAGGCGGGAGCGATTGCTTCGGCAAGCGCTGACCGCTCAACGCGACTTCTCAGAAGAGGCAGAGGTGCTCATCCCGTTCCCGCTGCCCTTCCTTCGTTTTCCCCTCTACGGGCCTCTAGGGAGGCGCTCGTCGCCATCACTGGCTTCGCCTCGAGATTTATGTCAGAGCGCACTCCTCCTGGGCCTCTCTGGTCCGCCTGCTGGGCAGTCTGTGGAGAGCCCCTTGGTGCCCCCTTGGGCTGTGCTGGGCCCCTTTTCGGCTGCCTTGGGGCTGGGCCATCTGAAGGATTTCTGCTCTGGGCTGTCATACACCTCAGGCGATGCTCAAGAAAACTTAAGCTTTCTGCCAGAGTCTCGATTCTTCTTAACTTTTCAATGTAAATCCCAAGATTTTAATAGAAATGATTGGTTTTTGATTCAAGTTCTGAGACTATGAATTCCTTAACCCATGATTTCTTAACCATTTCGCAGGGTGTAGATTGTTTCGGTTCTTCGGAAGTCTTCCACGTCTGAGTGCTCCGCCCCCTGTCCTCCTCGCGGCCGCCCTAGTCCTCTTGCCCTCTCTCGCACGCCAGCTAAGTAGCCATTCGGTTGCCCCGAGTCGCCAGTCGCTGGAGCTGACCGCCTCTGCCTCGCCGTCGTCGTCGTCGCCGTCGTCGCCGCCGCCGCCGCCTCCGCCGCCGTCGTCGTCGTCGTCGTCGTCGTCGTCGTCGTCGTCGTCGGTCGTCATCGGCGTCGTCGTCTTCGTCGTCGCCGTAGCCGCCGCCGCTTCCGCGCCGCCGTCGCCGTCGCCGCCCCCCCAAGCTTCGGTGGCCTCTTGGGACCCTTTCTGGGGCTCGTCTTCGTGAAGCGTGGTCCATAGGAGGCCTCTGGGATGAACCTCGAGCCGGGAGGCCGAGGGCATCTCCAAGGCTGTGCACAACAGGGCTGGGCCCAAACGCTTGTTTATTTACTGAGCTTCGGCTGTGTACTGCTTCTCGTTTTTGGCAGGGATGTGTTGGAGAACAGGTAGACCAACACGAAACACAAACGGGAAAACAACGTTCAGGTCCAGCCCTGATGTTCAATCACATGTTGGGGTTCACAGGCTGCTGCATGATGGTGGCCCTACTAGAAGGGCCTCTTGGCCTTCTCCTTGGCGCACTGGCAGGCGACTGGGGCCTCGTTGACTCCTCTTGGGCTGTTTTGGAAGCTGCTGGGCGCCTCATGAGGCAATGTGGCATGCCTGGGCCGTTTTTTGCAGCCTCGGATAGTTGTCGAGAGCCTTAGTGGGGCGCCAGGGTACCCAGGGCACCTCGGGGTTGGATGCATGCAGTTGGGTTTGACGCAAAGCGGGGGGTGGTACTTATTAATTGCAGAGAACCCACCAGGCAGATAATACTCACTCCAATACGCCCACATCGTCCAGGCACAGTAGCTGATTTGTTTACACTCTATTGATCATGTTTGCCATTACTTCGAATGGACCCCCTCCAATCCTGTTCGCTGTGCGTTGCGTGAAGCTCCAACCGTCCTCGTCATTGGTTTTCGAGTGCCTCGGTTGCCATGTTTGATGTCGTGAGCATGTTGGGGCTACGCGTTCCTCGTTTCACGTTGCGTTGTGCCTAGAACCTCCTGGCTCATAGCAGGCATGGCGCTCACTTCTACTTGCCGCACAACTGTATTCTCATTACATATTATTACATGTGTGTTGTTATTGTGTAGTGCATCAGCACATGTCAGCGTGGCAAACGGAGAACTGACATACCAGGTTGTTGATAAGTCTCTCATCCAGACAACCGTTGCGGTCGATTGGGCAGGTGGTGCAGATAACGCGATCCAGCCCAGAGTGAGCCAGATCAGCACAGCCTTCAGTTCGATCACTTACCAATATGCGAGGAAAGACGTCCCAGCAGGCTCAGCTATCAATTCAAAAGGCCCTGATGTGCGTGGCAGCGCAGCCGTCATCGTCGTTTTCTTAGCGGTCCCCTTCATCATTGGATCATTTCTTCATTGGTCAAGACGTGATGTGGGGCAGGCGTTGTCTTTGATCGGAGTCCCAGCTGATTATTTTCAGGCAGGCGAACTAAATCCAACCACAATGTTCAGCCGGCAAGCTCCATCGGATCCAGAAGAGCCCAAAGGGGGCACTTTGCTCACCAATGTACTCTGTGGTGTAGTTGCGGGCCTTGGTTGCCTTCCCGAGGCTATTTCGTTTTCTTTCATTGTGGGCATCAATCCTCTCAATGGAATTTGGGCTGGGATCTTCTTGAGCTTGTCTTCGTCATTGGTGGGTGGGCGCCCAGGGCTTGTCTCTTGTGCGTCCGCAGCTACTTCGGTACTTCTCGTTGACATCAACAGAGAGTTGGGGATGGGCGCCATGTCCCTGGCTGTTCTGATTTGCTCCGCTCTGCAGCTTCTTTTCGGGTTAGCAAAGCTCGACAGGCTGGTCATACTCATCCCCCATCCTGTAATGATCGGCTTTTGCAATGGCCTCGCTATCGTAATATTTCTGGCGCAGCTGGGCCATTTCAATCTCCAGAAGCTTGCAGGAAGTGGTGCAGATGTTGGCAGAGTTTTGACCGGAATGGTTCTTACTGTTCTCGTATCGATGTTCACCGCGGTTACTTGGCCACGCCTGCCCAAAGTTGGGCAATATCTCCCAGCACCCTTTGCTGCCATCATCGTCGCAGTTGGCTTCAGCTATGCCAGTGGCGGAATATTTCCTCAGCGCACCCTTGAAGATGTATCAGGAAAGGAGACGTTTCAGGGGGGTCTTGCATCAATTCCTCCTATGAATTTCCCTCCAGCAGGCGTTGATTGGACTGATGCCAGGCTTTGGTCGACAGCCTTTGCGGTGGGTGCACGGATGGCGTTCGTTGGTCTCACAGAGAGTTTGCTGACGGTCAAACTCCTTGATCGAGTCATGGGCCCGCCAGAAGGCAGCACAAGGATGGAGTGTTTTGGCCAAGCGCTCGGTAATCTTTTGGCAGGCCTATTTGGTACGCAGGGTGGTTGCGCCCTCATTGGCCAGTCTCTCATCAATGTTGGCAGTGGCGGCCATCGCCGCATATCGAGCATTGTCAGCGGCATCACGCTGCTGTTCGGCGTAACAGTACTGGCACCTGCTCTTGGCAAAATTCCAGTTGCAGCACTGGTTGGGCTCATGTTTTTGGTCTCGCTGAATACTTTTGTTTGGGCTTCGCTTAGCACTACATGGGATTCATTGCGACAGAAAGAGATCGTCGGATGGGTTGATGTTCTTGTGGTGGCCTTGGTGACGATCGTAACTGTCATCGCGAATCTTGCCACGGCAGTGCTTTTAGGTTTGTTTGTCAGCGGCATGGCATTTGCTTGGAACATCGCACACGAAGTGAATATTCATATTGAGCAGTCAAAAGTAGACAAGGATACTAGTATCGTCAGACTTGAAGGCCCCTTGTTCTTCGCATCCGCAATGAATTTTCAAGGAAAGGTTCGAGTTGATGCTATCCCACATAAGAAGGTCGTCATTGATCTGACAACTGGGAGGGTCTTGGACCACTCTGGCTTGGACACCATACTCACAACGGAAGCTGTCTTGAAAGCGGCTGGCAAGGACGTCACGTACATTGGCCTTTGCGATTCCGCCAGTCGATATATGGCAGCAATGCGGGATGACACGCTTGAGAACAGCACTGGCGATGCGCTCAAAGGAACAGACGGAGATGTCAAGAACGAAGCGTCGAAGTGCATCAAGGTATCAACGAACCTTTGAGTGGTCACGCTGCAAGCCAGCAGGCGACTGGAGAGCACTGGGGAGCCTGACCATGCGGGAGCGAGCCGATGTCCGGCGCACACAGCAGCCTGGCTCCCTGATGTCTACCAATTTTAAGCTCTCTGGCATGCTTGCCAGGGTGGATTCCGAACAGTTGGTCACGTCCACTGGACCTCCAGGCGTGCCAGGCCTCAAGGGGGAGTGGCGCGTGCCGTCTGCCTGCGGTTTTCCCAGGCGCTTTTGCTCACGTGCAGGAGCGGTTCGCTCCTTCACAGTTTTCTTCTCCTACATGAGCTGCGGCGATCCTGCAGAGCGTGTATCGGTACGCCATTCGCGCCTTGGCGTGTCGGGCTTCCGCCGAGTTGACTTTCAGGTAACGTCAGCGTTCTGCGAGTTCATGAAATTATGCCCATCTGGATTCGGGAACTGGTCGCTCTTTTTCCTCCCTCCTCCCCCGCATCCCTCCTGTCCATGCGGTCCCTGCCCTCACCTCTGATCGTCCAGCTTCGGGGACTCTTCAGCGGGTCACAGGGTGTGCCCCTCGAGTACGGGCGTGTCGAGACGAAAACGGTTGTGCCGATTTGCGGGCGAGTTCTGCCGCATGCCGGCACAGCACCTGCACAGCTCTCGAAGTCGCCAGGGCGGGCCGCAGCGAGCCCT